CTCTTGCATGTTAAACAGTTGAGTTTATAACCTTGTCCTGGTGTTCGAATTCATTTGTTATTTTTTCATTTATTTCTACTATATATACATATCCATATATACATATACATATCCATACATATATATATATATGTGTGTGTGTGTGTGTATTTATATGTGTATACACACACATACAAACACACACACATACATACACACCTTGTTTTAAAACAGTACATATCTTTTATATCTTCTAGTTTTTCATATACCACTTTATAATGCCTTGGTAAGACCACACTTGGAATACAGCATCCAGTTTTGGTTACCACGAGGTAAAAAAGATGTTGAGACTCTAGAAAAAGTGCAAAGAGCAACAAAGATATCAGAGAACTGGAGGCTAAAACATATAAAGAACAGAATTGGGTATGCCTAGTTTAATGAAAAAAAGGACTAGGGGTGACATGATAGTAGTGTTCCAATATCTCAGGGGTTGCCACAAAGAAGAGGGAGTCAAGCTATTCTCCAAAGCACTTGAAGGCAGGACAAGAAGCAACGGATGGAAACTAATCCAGCGATAATCAACCTACAACTAAGGAGAAATTTCCTAATAGTTATAATAATTAACCAGTGGAACAACTTGCCTCCAGATGCTGTGAATGCTCCAACACTGAAAGTTTTAAAGAAGAGATCAGACAATTCTTACTAGATATTCTATTCTATTCTATTCTATTCTATTCCCATCATAAAGATAAGATTTGATTGTTGCTATGAATTCAGTAGGAAGCCCTTGATCAGGAGTGTCAAACTCGATGTGACACGTGATGTGTCGCGAGGTATCACGACTGTTTCCCCCTTGCTGGACCTGGGGTGGGCGCAGCTTTTGTGTGATGCATCCGGCCCGCAGTTTGACACCCCTGCCCTAGACAATTGACCATTCTCTCAGACTTAGCATCTCCACCTACACCTGGGAAAAGGGAAAATATTTAGAATACAAAGAACTAAGAAATAGTTAAGATTTAAAAAAACCATAAGAGTATATACACAGGAATAAGAACACAGAAATAGAATATAAGAATACTTTATATATTAAATAAGAATATAAATAGATAATAGATAATAGAATAAGATTTATATTTTGTATAATAAAATAATGTTATATGAAAAAGTATTGTCTGGGTGTCTGTGTTCTATTCCATATTAAGAAAAACCCTAAGACACACGATCAAATACATTGTCAAAGTCTTATGTCTTATGTCAATCAACAACTTCTGTAACTATGTCAAAGTTAAAAGAGAATTCAGAATATTGGCTTCTCAGATGTCTGGATGCTAATTGTTGCACTGATCATTTTTCAAAGAATGACAAAAGTACCAGACTATGGACAGAGGAGATACTCTTATTATATTCTGGAATAGAAATGAGGTATTTTTTTTCCCAGAGCAGAGAATCAATACTGAAAGTGTCAGCATTAGGGATCATTAGGAAAGCTGGTAATGAAAACAAAGAGCACCAGGACAATATAAACCTGCAATGTTCATTTCAGTGACACAAATCCCAAATAACTACAGGATACATGATTATTTCCCGTGAGGACTTATGAGGAACATACTTGCTATTTTGGAAAATTTCAGCTTTCTTCTTTCCAAAGCATCATATGGAAGAGGGTTCATGCAAGTTCAGTGGAAAAAAATCCATCCATCCATCCATCCATCCACCCAGTCATCCATCCATCCATCCATCTATCCACCCGTTCATCCTGCCTTTCTACCAGGATAGACAAAATTCAAACAGTGACAATTGGATTTAAAATGTTGTTTTCAATGTCCTGTCCTGAATTTGCAGCTCAAGGAAAATATTGGCATTCCAACCTGACATCTAGTGGTATTTTTCACACATTACACACACTTTATACTACAGATGTAGACACAGGAATATAAATGGTTGTCCACTTATCTATTGAAAGTACCTGAAGGAAAAGACAAGAGTGACAGCGGAAAATGTGTCCAACTAAATGTGTCCATTAAAAAAAATACAAAAAGAGTGAGATAACAGTCAAAAAGGGGAGGAGAACAAATTTCTTGAATAAAATTAAAGAACAACGAGAAACTTATATAAAGATGAGCATTTTAGGTAGTGCTTGAGTTACTAAGTTGCTAAGCAAGTTGGGTGTTAAGTAAACTGCTGTTGTATTGCAGTTTTTACAATTTTTCTGTCATGGTTGTTAAACGAATCACTGCAGCTGTTAAATGAATCATGCAGTCATTAAGAAAATCTGGCATCCTCCATTGATTTTGCTTGTGGAAAGCTGACTGGGAAGGCTGCAGTTGGCAATCACATGTGAAGAGTCGGCTTTTTTCAGATCAACTGAGTGTTGATCCATTGGCTGTGACAGGAATTAATTAACCAGCTTGTTGGCCAAGCCTGATGTCATGGGCTGAGAGTGCGTGACTTGCCCAAAGTCACCCAGCCAGCTTTCATGCCTACGGCGGGACTAGAATTCACAGTCTCCTAGTTTCTAGCCTGGAGCCTTAAGCACTACAAGAAACTGATTCCCTATTTAGAACAGAACATGGAAAATTTAAATGGTTCGAAACTGGGAGAGGAAAACACTACAATGTTATATTACCGTCATATTCATTTAACATATGTAAAATAGATTTAGGAGATCTGAGGGAAATATCAATCACTTCAGTTATGAAAACAACTTCAATGGTCGAGGTCCCTTCCAACTTTATCATTATTATTATAAGTCTTAAGCAATATCCTGCTGAAGGTGAGAATTCAAAAGCCACTCCACTGCTCAGTATTTTAAAAACTAACATTATATCAATAAGCACCACCCATCAATTGAAAAGAGGTAGAGAAAAGGCTTAAAAGGTGACTGATTTTACCTTCCTAGGCTCATAAACTACCAGGAATGGTGTCAATTGCCATGAAATAGAAATCCCTTGGACTAGAGACTACAAATGATCTAGAGGAAAAAAAACACTGAAATACAGAAACATCAAACTAGAAAAGATATGTAAGATAGTCCTCAACTTACGACTAGAAATAAGCCCAAAATTTCAGTTGTTAAGTGAGACAGTTGTTAAGTGAATTTTACTTCATTTTATGACCTTTCTTGCCATAGTTGTTAGGTGAATCCCTACAGCTGTTAAATTAGTAATGTGGTTATTAAGTGAATCTGGCCTTCCCATTGACTTTGCTTGTCAGAAGGTTGTTTAAAGGTGATCATATGATCCTGGGACACTGCAACCGTCATAAACATGAGTCAGTTATCAAGCACCTAAATTTTGATCACATGATCACGGGGATGCTGCAACAGTCTTAAGCAGGGGTCTTCAAACTTGGCCCTTTTATGACTTGTGGACTTCCAACTCCCAGGATTCCTCAGCCAGGCACGCTGGCTGAGGAATTCTGGGAGTTGAAGTCCACAAGTCATAAAAGGGCCAAGTTTGAAGACCCCTGGTCTTAAGTGTGAAAAACAATCATAAGTCCCTTTTTTCAGTGCCGTTGTAACTTTGAACAGTCACTAAATGAACTGTTATTAAGTCGAGGACTACCTGTATTGTCAAGAACATGGTTTTCCCAGCTGTAATATATCACTGTGAAAACTGGAACACCAGGAAGGCTAAGAATGAAAAACTGAGTTTTTGAATTGAAGTACTGAAAAACATTTTTTTTAGTACAACTAGAACAAATCAATCAATATTAGGTGAAATAAAACCAGATGAAACAAAACCAGACCACTCCTTGAAAATGTTAGCAACGAGGCTGAAGCCTGCACATTTTCATCCTTAATGAAGCGGGCAAACCAGCGTCTGCATTTCCTGCGTCGGCTGAGGAGAGCACATCTTTCTCCTTCTGTCCTGGCCACTTTTTACAAAGTCACAATTGAAAGCATTTTAACAAACTGCATCACTGTCTGGTTTGGTGGCAGCAGTGCCTCAGATAGAAAGTCCATACAGAGAATGGTAAGGACAACCGAGAGGATCATAGGAAGCTCGCTTCCTGGTATTCAGGTTGATGCTTATAAGCACTATGTGCTTAGAGCTCAAAACATTGTTAGAGACCCCACACACCCACTTTATGGTCTGTTTCTGTTGCTCCCCTCTGGGAGGAGATTTCGAAGTATTTCTAGCAGGACTACCGATTCTGTAATAGATTTGTTCCCTATGCCAGGGGTAGGCAACCTTGGCTCTTTTATGACTCGTGGACTTCAACTCCCAGAATTCCTGAGCCAGCATGGCTCAGCTTGGAAACCTCTCCCTTTCCCCTCAGCATGGCTGGCTCAGGAATTCTGGGAGTTGAAGTCCACGAGTCATAAAAGAGCCAAGGTTGCCTACCCCTGCCCTATGGCATCCGTCTAGTAAACTTGCAAGATTCGGGTTTTTTTGCCATGCACATGTATACATAACCTGAATTAGACTGTTGTTTCTCTGTGTCATATGGTATATGTGGGCAAATGCATAATTCTGTATTTATTTATTTATTTTTGTCATATTTATGTAGTGTATATGGGAGGTGATGGCCCTTTGAGAGCTGTATGCAACGAAATTTCATTTTAACGTATGACGATTAGTGTACATTCAAAGTGACAATAAAGTTATTATTCTTACTCTTATTCTTCTTGGAAACACAATGCAAGAGATCCTCATACTTGAAAATATCAAAGGCACTCAAGAAAAGAGGGCAGCAGAGTGATCATATGGAACATTAAGTCCAATCCTTGTTTCAGTTTTTAGGAAGTCCCAAAACAGGACTGCTAAAATCGCTTCCATCAAAGAAGAAGGAGGTGCTGGTGTATCTCTCAAGCTCCAGATTGTTCATTCCACAGATGAGCCTCCTCTTATTTCTGATCCTTCAATGGCAGCACACCATGACATTTCTGTTACGTGGCTGACTAAAGCCACATCGCCCCCACATCTACTTAGTTGTCTTAATAGCAGATTGGACTAGAAGTCAGCAAAAACTCATGAAATACATCCAGTAATTTTTCTTCTCTCCGAGGTCCACCTTACCTGTCTGTAAGTACTAATGATGATTTCTCTCAGGTGGTAGTGCATAGGTGTCATCGTTTCACTCACTGTGTCCAATGCCATGTCAACCTCCTTCTTCATTCGGTGTCCCTCTGGCAATATCTGGACCACTTTCATTACCACCTGGAAAATAACAGCAAATCTTATGGCTGATGATTAAGCTTTTCCCTTCTGGAGTGTTTTTTCTCATACAGGGACTAAACACTCAGCAAAGAAAATGTCTCCAGGAGATATAAGAAACACAGTTTCTCTATGAAGGCAAGGTTTAGTATTTAGATATCCTTCTTGCATTGTAAAAAAAAAAAACCCAACATAAAGAGGCCTTGAGATGTATATCTCAGTGTTTTTCAACCTTGGCAGCTTTAAGATGCGTGGACTTCAATTCCCAAACTTCAACTCTGCTGATTGGGGAATTCTGGAAATTAAAATCCATTCATCTTAAAGTACTATATAGGTAGGTAGTCCTCAAATTACAACCACATTTCCACTGCTAAGCAAGGCAGTTGTTAAGTGAGTGTTGTCCCATTTAAAGATCTTTTTGCCTCAGTTGTTAAGTGAATCACTGCAGTTAAGTTAGTAACCTGGTTGTTATGTGAATTGGCTTTGTTTGTGAGAAGGTTGCAAAAGGGGATCACATGATGCTGGGACATCGTCATAAATATACGCCAGTTGCCAAGTCCCCGAATTTTGTTCATGTGACCCCAGCGATGCTGCAATGGTCATAAGTGCTGAAAACAGGTCATAAGTCACTTTTTTAGTGCCGTTGTAATTTCGAATGGTAACTAAACAAATGGTTGTAAGTTAAGGACTACCTGTATTATCCTTTTATCTACTGAAGATGTTTAAAATAGACAGATGCCACTGTGATGACCCAGGGCCCCGAACGGAGGCAAAGCACTTAGCTGGTCAGAATAATTGTTTTTGTAAGCACTGCCAACGTTCACCCAACAGCCTCCACATATGCTGGCACAAGTTCAATAAAACAGTCAACGGAGTTAAACAGTTCTTTAAAGTAAAACAGATAACAAAGTATGATCTTTTCCACGCCCAGCTTCCCTGTAACCGGCAAACTGCAAAACTGAGGACAGCAAGGAGAACTCAGCAGGAAACAAACTTGATCCAAAATACAAAGAGTCCAGGTACAAGAGCTCACATCACAAGAGTTCACGTTTGTTCCCGGCAAATGCCCCACCCCATAGCGTCTCCTTAAATGCCTACTCCCCAGGTGTGCCTTGTGGAGTGAGGCGTGACGCTCTCCTCCCGAGCAAGTGAGCCTGCCTCCATTGTTCCCTCCTCCTCTCTGCTCTCCTTGCTCTGGGATCTGGTGGGGAGGGGCCTTGCTCCTCACCTGAGCTCTGCCTTCCCTGTTCCAAACTTGAAGGGCCCTGGCCTGCTTCAGCCTGCTCCTCCCCACAGTCCTCCGAAGCCACAGACATACCCTCCTGGGCCTCAACAGGGAACTCCATGTCGTCCTCAGAGTCAGGCTTGGACGGAGGCATGACAGCCACACTATCTATTTGCACAATAACCTTTGTCTGTAGTTCAATAAGTTCAAATTAGGGACCATTTTTTATGGTAACCTGCGAGATGGTAGGTGCAATCTCATGATCCTGGACCTGTACCCACTGTGCACATACACAAGTACGGTACATTTACATGGCACACATGCACAAAAGAATCGAGCCGTGCCACACCTGCCATCTTGCAGAGGTTGATTTCACTGAAGACATCCATGATTCAATGGGATCTCTCGCATTCCTCCCACTATTCTATGACTGTAGAGGCCGCAGCAGAGATGGGGCGATTAATTGTTCAATCAAAACGTGCTGCAGCCATTTTGAGTGGCAAGTTTTCAAGTGTCCTGTCCTGTTCTGGGTCCTACTTGTAATTATCTGGTTAGTAGCTGTGTTGCTTCTTGTCAAACTTTTTCCAGCCTGATTAGTAGAGTTGCTGGGATCAACTGTGTCCCTGATGTGACAGGTTAATCTGGGGCAGCTCAAATGCAATAGTTAAGCACAAAAGGGAAGACAGCTGGAAGCCACATTTTAGTTGATCTGTCTGGCACAAGGCTATTTTAAAAAAGGTTTGCCAAAAAATGATATTAGGAGTCTTTTTAGAGTGGGCTGCCATTAGAATGCATGTGGGTCTTCATGCATTATGGAAAGTTTTGCTTTGCAGACAAATAATTCAAAAATGTTGCTCTTAATGTGTCAACACAAAGACTTTTAGTGTGCTATTAAGTGTAATTCATCTACTCAATGTTGACGTGTGTGCACATTTTGTTCATTATCTTGTTCTGAGCATTAGGATGCATAAAAAATGCAAAGGATATATTAGTTTGGCTAACTTGCTTTGCTTGCATACACTCTCTATCTGCTCTTATCTTTTGCTTTGAGATTAATGTTATTCATCATTTAAAAGCACCAGCAATCCATCTTTCCTTTCCTTTCCTTGCAACTGACCACTACTTTTATATGTGAGCAACCCACAATTGCCTAAAAAAAGGAATTGTGCAAATCTATTTATAGGATGTCACTATGAAAGTGGGGCAGCAAAACCTATGTAAGAACTGGACAGAATGCTTCAAATAATTTCAATTTTGGTCTATGAGAACACAGCCAGCTTAGAACTCATGTCAATTTAACATTTCAGGTTGGGTTCTTTTGTTAAAAGCTGTCCAAGGTGGCTTCTGTTTCATGCACACTCCAACTGCTAAATTAAAATACATTTTATTGAATAAATCACAAGCAGCAGGGTTGACGTGAAACTCAAACTCAGCCAATGCATTTATTTATGAATGTGAAGGCTCCCTGCTGGAAAAGTATGATATTAAGAAAATACAAAGCATGCGTTAGAAGGCACCAACCTCAAATTCTCCTTTTGTGTATTTGGCATCAGGCACACTCACAATCTCATCCTCCGTGATCTCAGGGATTCCCTGCAACAACAGGACAGGCTTAGCCTCCTTTTTAAAGGTATGGAAAAGCTAAAACAGTGGCTTCTCCTTTAAAAAGTTGGCCTATACAATGTAAGAAATACATTACAACCAGGATTATCAACAATTATGGGTATTTCTTTTCTCTCTGTGCGGGTTTGTAAGAAATGTGTTCTTTTGTAAACCTCTACATCTTGCATCTTTCAAAAAGCTTTTGATCACTGATAAACCATTTTACAGAAATCCTGTCTGGTGTATTGATTAAGGTACTGAACTAGAGACTAGGTAGGAGATCCTAAATTCCAGTGCTATCTTAGGCACAGAGCAGCTGGGTGACCATGGGCCAGTCATTTTCTCTCTGCCCTAGGAAGCAGGTAATGGCAAACCACTTCCAAAATGATTTCCAAGAAAATCACAGGGACATGTCTAGGCAATCTTCAGAAGGCAAGACTGACTCAAGAGCCAAAAACAAGCACACACGGACAAAAAAAAACCATTTTACACCCACCCTCTCCACCAAGGAACCCCACAGCACTGCACCGGATTCTGGAATGTTTTCGTAAGTACATACAGCAAACTTTCTAGCAAGGTTTGAGTCTAACATGAGAAGAGTATGCTCCTGCAAACTGCAGCTACAAGTGTCCTTTCTTCTCCCCTTTTTGTTTGGCCTAGTTCCAGGATGGGTCCAAATTTGTTCCTTGCACCAATCTGATTGTAACAGGCAGTGCTTTTTTTCTAAAAAAAAAAAAAAAAAAGGTGCCAGAACTCACAGACGTCATACAACCTGCCTTGCCTACCCTACAAGGTTCCATCCAAAAAAGGTGCCGGAACTCCATTCTGGGCGTTCTATGAGAAAGAAAAGCCCTGGTAACAGGCATTATTGCATTAAGGTCATTTAGGTCATTAGGATGTGATGATGACAATAACAACACTTAGAATAACGGCATGGCTGAAAGAGTACTGTTATGGTATACTGAAGGACTGATGATGTTTTAGTTTGTAAATGGCAGAAAGACTGGGAGTAATTCACTATAGAAATACAGCCACTGTTTTTCTGATTATGTGCAATTCAATATGCTGCCCAAATTCCAAATAAATCAGGCTTATAATCTAGGGCAGGGGGTAGGCAACCTCGGCTCTTTTATGACTCATGGACTTCAAGTCCCAGAATTCCTGAGTCAGCTATGCTGACTCAGGAATTCTGAGAGTTGAAGTCCATGAGTCATAAAGGAGCCGAGGTTGCCTACCCCTGATCTAGGGATAGAAACTGGCTTACTGCCAAACTAGCAACAAATTAGCAACAGTTTGCTGAGTTAGGATGAAGTAACAAGACAAGGTTGACCAAATTCCAACTCTTTCACCTAGCTATGCCATAATAAAGAAAATCACCTTTGGCTTGGCTCTGACATGTTTAAGGATAGAATTGACATGATAATAGACAAAATGCTTTTATCCTACAACAAGCATTCATTCATTCTGAAAAAAAAACAACAGCTCAAGTTGTCTTCTGGCCGGAGCTGAGTGAGCTGTTTCCTATGGATCTTTGTTAATTCTTTTCTCACTGAAGACCATCTTGGACATTTTCATAGACCTCAATTTCCTAGGAAATAGTCTGGACACCTCTGCCTTGGTTTAGCCCAGCTTGGATAATTTATATTAAAATCTTGGTCCAAAACAAAAATTAAACATGAGCATACATATCCACATTGCTTTTTTTTTAAAAAAAATAATCCCCATGTTTTAAAAATCAAATTCGACCAGAAAGGGAAGCCATCATATTTTAACAAGGAGCAATATAATCAGAACTAGGATAAGGTCTTTTTTTTTTTGGGGGGGGGGGGTCATCTGGAGTTGCAAACATGACAAACTTTTCTAGATGGATGAAGAGAGCAATATAAATTTTAGAAAGATGGGGAAGCTTACACAGTTCCTCAGAGTGGGATCACAAAGTTTGCCAACATCTGGACAGGTTAATGTCACACTTTATATTTATTTCCTTTCCAAATATGTAGCTGCCAAAGTAGTGTGAAAAATTAAATCCCCTGACCCAGCTTTGAAACAATGTGGGATCTGATATCCTTTGCAGTAGGATTTCATTCAAGATATGAGGTCCCACTTGCTACATAACTCTAGTCAAGGGGTGTCAAACTGCCGGCCTGTGGGAGAAACCGCACCCACCCCATTGCCGGCAATGGAAAAAAAGTTGCGATACGTCACGACACGTCACGTGACGTTGTGAGTTTGACACCTCTGCTCTAGACTGTTCAGCCCATATTCTGCCCAGCCCATGTCAAAGGAACACATACATTGAAATGCCAAAGGATGAGGACAGCAATAACCATGGCTGTTGTAGTTCTTCCTCTGCCACTGTGACAGTTGAACACAAAGGCTGTGTGAGAGTCTTCAGCCAGTGCACCCTTCATGGCTTCCAGCATCTGATCAAAGTCCTACAGACACAAACCAAAGATGACGTGAACAAACTACTCTTTTTTTTTTTTCAGATGGCAAAATAACTGGAACTTTTCTGTTAACTTCTAAACCACTTAAATGGATCTCACAGAAGTTAAGAAGAGTGCAAGTACTCTTCACGTTATAACTGGTCATTTTACAAGCATTCGAGGTTATTTATTTATTTATTTATTTATTAATTGTATTTATATCCCGCCCTTCTCCTTTCGGACTCAGGGCGGCTGACAAATGATAAAAAGCTAACATATTACACCTAATTTAAAATTTGATTAAAATGAAATATTTAAGAATGTCAAATTTAAAAGTAATTAAAACCCCTATAAAATCCCCTAGGCCAGTCCCGCTTGCTG